GATGAGCCCACAATACACTCGGCAATTCTTCGACCCATTTGCCTTTAGCTTTCTCCAGCCTCTTTTTGATGCTGTCCAAGATGGATTTATTAGAGGCTTCGGCTTGACCATTGCTTTGTGGGTAAGCCGGCGTAAAAAAGTAAGGCCGAATACCATATTTGTTGCATAGCTCTCGGTAGACGCCACAATCAAACTGGGTACCGTTGTCTGAAATTAGAGCTCTTGGAATACCGAATCGTGTTATGATATTTCTCCAAACAAAGCGCTGAACATCAGTATCTCGAATGTGCGTTAGTGCCTCCCCTTCAACCCATTTTGTGAAGTAATCTGTCGTGACAATTAAAAATTGCTTATTGCTCGGGGCACGAGGTAATGGTCCAACGATGTCAAGTCCCCATTGGGCGAACGGCCAAGGACTGGTGATAGAGCTTAACTCTTTAGCAGGCAGATGGGTTAAAGGGGAGAATTTCTTGCACTGTTCACATTTCTTGACGTAACACTCGGCATCGGATCTCATTGTTGGCCAATAATACCCCTGTGTCACAGCTTGATGAGCCAAAGAGCGCCCGCCAGAATGGGCACCACAACTACCTTCATGTATTTCAGTCAGGAGTTCTCGACTTTATCCGGATAGACGCATTCTAGGTATTGACCAGAAAGGGATTTTTCGTAGAGCTTTCCTTACGGATCTAAGTAATATCACAGGGCTTTGTTTTGCAAGTTGTACGCTTCTTTCTTATCCATCAAGAGCCGTTCAGAAGATAGAAATACAGTGATAGGGTCCTTCCAACTTGGACCTGATTCTATGATATTGATTAGAATTGACTTTGAGGGGGCAATACTCAGCTCAGGGATAAAATCATACTTTAATTGTCCGTTTAATTTCTAAGTTGATGGCGGAGGCTAGGCAAGCCAGGGCATCTGCATGTGTGTTCTGATCCCGGGTTATTTGATTTAGTTCATGATTGTCGAATTTTGCCAGCAAAGAATTCGTCGTTTTCATATAAGCTGTCATACAGTCATTTTTGGCTGCGTATTCCCCCTTCAATTGGTTAATAACTAGCTTTGAATCGCAGAAGATAAGCAGACGCTGAACACCAAGGAGATGTCCATTCCGTAAGCCGGTTAATAAGGCTTCGTATTCGGCCTCATTGTTCGATGCGTCGAAGCCCAGTTTGACAGCCTACTCTATTATTGCCCCGTCGGGAGCCATGATCATTACACCCGCCCCACTGCCACGTTGGTTGGATGATCCGTCACAATACAACTGCCAAATGTCACCAACATAGATTTTCCAGTTTAGCTTAGGTTGAATTTGATCCGACTTAAAGTCGGTGAGGCATCTAGTGAATTCGGCCACAAAGTCGGCGAGCACTTGCCCCTTGATTGAGTTTCTAGGCAAAAATTGAATATCGTACTGGCCGAGTTCGAGAACCCATTTTGAAACGCACCCTGATGCTTCTATACTACGGAGTACTGACTGGAGGGGGTAGTCCGTTAGTACCCTAATGGTATACCCCTGAAAGTAATGCATCAACTTTCTTGCCGCCATGACGAGAGCAAGGACGAGTTTTTTCAACAGAAGGTAACGTGTTTCGGCGTCAACCATTTCTTTGCTCACATAATAAACTGGCCACTGCTCCCCAAGTTCTTCCTTTAACAGAACGGCGTTGATGGCCCGGTCGGAGACTACTAGATATAAAATGAGCGGATCACCTGCCGAAGGTGTTGTCAAGAGTGGAGCTGATCGGAGGTAAGTCTTTAAACCGTCCAAAGCGGCTTCGCACTCGGGGGTCCATTCAAAAGCTTTACCCTGCTGAAGGGTGTGAAAGAATTATCGGCAGCGATCTGTGAAACGACTGATGAACCTGTTGAGTGCGGCGGCCATCCCCATCAGCTTTTGAACCTCTTTGACCGACCGAGGAGAGTCGGGTTCTAGAATTGTTGTGATTTGCCTCGGGTTGGCTTCGATTCCACGGTGGTTAACAATGTAGCCAAGAAATTTACCGAATCCGATGCCAAATGCACATTTAGAAGCGTTCAGCTTCATTTTGTATTTGCGAAGCATGCCGAATGTCTCTTCTAGATCGGCTAGATGAGTTTGCTTTTCTTTGGACTTGACCACCATATCGTCAATCTACACTTCCATAGTACGGCCAAGTTGCTCCTTGAACATGGCAGTGACTAGTCTTTGGTAGGTTGCCCCCGCATTTTTCAACCCAAAAGGCATGACCTTATTGCAATAGGTTCCTCTTGGAGTGAGGAATGCAGTTTTGTCTTGGTCCTCCGGATGCATGGCAATTTGATGGTAGCCTCTGTATGCATCCAGGAAGCTCAAACGTTGATAATGTGCCGTGACATCTACAAGTTGGTCAATTCTGGAGAGGGGAAAGCAATCTTTGGGACAAGCTTTGTTTAAGTCCGTGAAATCCACGCAAACACGCCAAGTTCCATTTTTCTTCTTTACCACCACAGTATTCAACAGCCAGGTAGGATAGGTCACTTCGCGGATTGCCCCGGCATCAAGTAACCGGTCAATTTCTTCAACAACGGCAGCAATGTGTTCCGTAGCTGACCGCCGGCTTTTCTAAATAATCAGCTTACATCTAGGATCAACGTTTAAGCGGTGTTGAGACACAGATAGATCCACCCCGGCATCTCATATGGTGACCATGCAAATACATCAAGATTGCCGAGTAAAAAGGAAATTAGCTTTTACCTGTCTACTTTATTCAAGAAGGCGCCGACCATGAAGAACTTGTCTGGATCCTCATCAATTTCAACCCGATCCAGGGCTCCGGTTTCCTTTTCACTTGGGATCCGCCCAACGTCGTCGAGGCTCTCTTGATCCGGCACCTCAATTGAATTGACCTCCAACTCTCTTGGTGTCTTTTCGACAAGAAGATAACATGCATGTGCATTTCTAGGAACCTCGAATTTGCTCAATGCCGCGATCAGTCGGAAAATGAAGTAATTGATGATATGTGCTTGGTACGGCCTGCATGACATGCAGCCAAGTTTGTCCCATGATGAGATTATACGGCGAAGGAAGCTTGACAACCAAAAATTCTACATCCACTGACCGGGAGCCTGCCCGAACTGGTAGTGTGATCTTGCCTAATGGATATTCCAGATTAGCGTTGAAGCTGAATAAAGGATAGGGAGTTGGAGACAGGGCCGACTCAGTGAAGTCGAATTTGATGAAGGTCTTGTAGTACATAACTTTCGAAATACTCCCCTGGTTAATGAGAACGCGTTCAGTGGTGAATCGGTTTATGCGTAGTTCAATGACCAAGGGGTCAATGTGGGGGAGCGTTACGCCGACCAAATCAGAATCATTGAAACTTATACTTGCAACTTCATGGGGCCGTTTCACTGGTGTGATTTGCTTTTGAGGGTTAGGATGCAACTAAATTGTATGTACGGCGGATGCCGTCGGCAAGCTGTATATCATATGGATTATGCCGAGTGGAGGTGAATCCTGCAGTAAAGCAACTGTGTTAGTTGAGTTGTTCTTTCGAACGCGTTGCTTAAGTCGACCATCTTGTACCAACTCCTCAAGGTGATCTTTCAAAGCATAACAATTGTCAGTATCATGACCGTAGTCTTTGTGATATTCGCATCGCCCATCCCGTTTCCTCGTGTCAGAAGGTCCCACTATCTTGGGTGGCCATTTGAAGAACGGAAGTTGTTGAACTGTAGACATAACCGTGCTGATCGACTCTAACAACTCCGTATATTTCTTGTCCGCGTGCCTTATGAGCCTGCTATCCACTTGAAGTTGTTCATTAGCCCAGTGTGGGCATTGGTCGTTTGAATGGCGCGAATCTCATCTTTTGTCTCATTTAGTTCGATTTCGTGGTTCATGGCTCCACGATGGTACATAATTTATTGGCTGAACAATTTCTGATGGGGCCGTCTTTCTGGACTTGTGCCCGGCTTTGACCCGCAGGGCGTCATCTTCCACTTTGCAATATTCCTCGACTTTCTTTATTAGCGACCAGACTGTTTTGGGGGCCTTCTGGTCAAGGAGCTGCGGAGAGCACTATCAGGACGCAATCCCATTTTAAAGGCGGTGATGGCCATAGAGTCATTGCAGGCATCATCCACGAGATTAAAGCATTCCTAGTAGCGCGCCGAATACGCTCGTAGGGTTTCCCCTGTTAGGATTTGCATTGTCCAGAGAGAGTCGGCTTGCTTCCGCTGGACCTTATTAGTGATGAATTGTGCCCTAAAGGATTTTTGGAGTTGATGGAAGCTCTTAATCGATGCTAGTTCCAATTTATAATACCATCTGACGGCCAACAGTCCCAAAATGCTCGGAAATATTCAACACATGAGGGCCTCGTCGTCCGCATGTAGCGTCATGGCTTGCTTATAATGTCGGATGTGATCAGTGGGGTCTGATTTTCCATCGTATATAGTGAACGATGGAGCTTTGAACTTTTTGGGTAACACTGCCCTTGCGATCCGTCGCACAAAGGGGTCATGTTGGTCCTCTTCATATGAGTCATTTCTTCTTCGCTTATTCCGTGCATGCGAACTCCCTTCGGAAGAACTGGAGACTTTGACTTGTCCCTTCTTTTTGGGTTATGGGAATAATGAGTTAGATCACTGCCACTATTATGTCTCCAAGTTCGAGGTCGTCAACCATCCTTTCTCAGAGATCATGCCGGATCTTAGCGCGCGGCCTGTTGGGATTTTGCCACCTCCAAGGCCAAATCTTGTCGAAGGCACTCATTCTTTGCCATCATGTTTTCCAACCTCTGTTCATTCTGCTTCGTCTGAACCATAATCGCTTGCATTGTCTCATGTGTTGATGCCGAGGGTGAGTCGAAGTTCAAAGCCCTTCGTGCGGTAATGTTCTCTGGCCCAAGCATGTTGCTTGGAGTGGTATCATCTCGTGGCGTATGGTCGTCAGTGACTACCGGAGGATCTTTCGTCACACCCGCCATGGATGTACTGGAGTATTCCCACAGACGGCGCCAATTGTGAAGAAGTGGTTTGGAAATACTCTTTGGATCCAATAGGACGCTCGTGATCCTTAACTAGTCACCTGAAAATGAATAAACACTTCGGTCGGAGGTGCCGGAATTAGCACTCCGACGGATCAGTCAGTGTATACTCTCTTGGTTACTTATAACTCAAGTTAAACTTGTTTGTTTTCACATACCTTTCTTTAGCTGATGCTCCTCTATTTATATTTTTCTTTTGGGCCTCAGGATCGAGCCCATCCTTAATCCATTGTACGTTTATGTATTCGGCCTTAGTTTGACTTGTTCCTCGGCCGATTAATATATTCGGCTTTGGGATCATTCAGGATGAAGCCGAGTACAAATTCCGTCAGTGACTGTCCTCATACATTTATTTGGCTTTATTGCCCTCATAATATCCGGCTCCCACAAAATCATTTTTGAAAAATAATTGTTTGGCATATATATTCTAAAATAAATTACAACCATACGTGATGCAATCAATACACATGAAAAGAGAACATAATATCTACGGTGGGATAAATTTCACAATTTTTTCACCTTGTGTGGAGTCACACAACAAATATCATAGGTATATATAGGACCTATCAAATTTAAAATTTTAAAAAATATTTTATGTCACCAAAATTTTATAATGTATTCTGGTAATGCATAAAACAGTGAAAAAAATTGGCAATTTATACCAAATTTTTAAAAAATAATGAGAGGATCCATATACATGATATTTGTGTATACATCTGCATTAGAGTAATGATAGTAATAATGAAATCCATTTGGTAATTTATTGTCCCTCTAAAAAAATGTACAAACCTCAATTACAAACTAACATTTTTTTTTCCTTAAAACACAAATTAATATAGCAAATGTAGTTAAAATATAACATCAATTTGTAAATTAAGTTTGCTTAAATTTTAAAATAAGTAGCAATCATCGATAGATAGATACTATAATTTAACTTTGGTATTAGTACTAAAGTTATTATCTATTATTGTTCCAAAATATCTAAACTGTTGTGACAGTTGTACATTGTCCTATATATGTACAACTCCCAACAGCCTAATAAACTAACTTGTCAACACAAATATGAAGAAATATATTCATCAACAGAAACAAAAGCCACCTAGAAGTTGGATTAAATGTTGCATCTAATTATTATTAAAACCGAAATATATTCATCAACAGAAATAAAAGCCACCTAAAAGTCGGATTAAATGTTGCATCTAATACCCCCAAAAAAAAAAAATTCAAAAGCCCAAGTAAAAAGTGAAAAAATGAAACTAGTTAGTCATTTGGTATTTTGGGAGATTTATATGTGGGTGAGATTAAATCATTCACTAAAAAATTGATCAGTGTATTTAATTTTTATACAACTAGAAGGAGAATAGAAGAAGGGAAAGTTGCATCGTGCAATGCTAATGTATTTCACAAAGCCAGCCAGCGCGTGATAGGTGATATTTTATTAATTATACCTACTTAATTTAATTTAATACAAGACATTAATGATATGTCCTAGTCTTTTTAATTTTTCTTTAAACTTTTTTGCTTTCATAATTCCTTTTACAAATTCATATTCCAAAAACATAAGTTAAAGAATATATTTTTTATATGTATAGCATATTATATTTATACATATGTATGTATGTATGTATGTGAAAGTGAATTGAAGAGGAGAATGAATGAGTGATGTGAAGAAGATACTTAATTTTTATTTATTTATTTATTTTTTTTAATGCGACATAGAATATTTATAGAATTGAGAATTAGTTGAGTTTTTGGACAATTTGAAAGTTAGTTGGGCAGATATAAGTAGATTTGTGGGGTGGTGTCTCTCTTGCCTCCAAAACCTGCAATTCTACTCTCGGACCACTGACTGGTAGTTGATGGGCCTTCTTATATACATTGTCCCCATTCCCATGTGTCATCTACCTCAAAATACCATTGCATTATTATGCATATATATGCTTTAAATTAAAAAAAAAAAATTTAAAAATTATAATTGAAAACCGATTTTAAAGAGACTCCTTTAGAAAATGTAAACTAGGGATATCTAGTCTCACATATCAAGCAAAATAAAATATCAAGACCTCCTAGATAGAACTTGAGCTTCTATCCAAAAATTCAATTATGTGATTAAAAATGCTTTAAAAATAGAAGAATAAATATTTTAAAAACAAATAATCCCCAACCTCAACTACATAATGTATGTTTATATAAATATAACATACAAGCAAAACCAATTCAATTAACTATGTATTCTCAATTATATTATCATGTCTTGAAATTTTGGGTGCGTTTGGTTTGGTTTTGGGAGATAAATTTTCAAAAAAAATCTTAAGGAAAGAGTTTAGAAATTTTTTTGATTTGTTTGGTTGTATATTTTGGAAATAGTTTTGGAATATGAGAGTTTGGAATGATTTGATATTTTGTTATAATTGAGTAGATGTGTGTGAGAGAAAAAGTAATTCAAAATGAGAGAGAAGAGAGTAAAAGTAATTGATTGATGTGTAAGAGAGATAAAATGATTTTGGAAATTTTTTTCAAAAAGTTTCCAACCAAACAAAATTTTGGAATTTTTTTTTCAAAAATTGTGTTTTGAGAGTCAAACCAAACAAGATCTTTATTTATTAATATGATTAAATATGCAATAAGAACAAAACAATAAAATAAAAAAATTATTAACAAATAATCTCTTAACCCTCTCAATAGGTCAAGAATCTCACTGGATTTTTCAATTCAGATAATGTTGTGAATAATTCTATACCCATAATTTTTTTAATGAAATTCCCATATAAAATAATTTGGTATTTTGTAATCATTTTAAACTAGAACACTTGCTATTGTGAGGTCCATTGTCCCCTTGTCTTGTTCCATTTTGTACTAATTGATGTGATAGCTCTTACATTAAAAATTAATAAATCTGCACATGAATTTTTTTGGACTAGGCATCCCATCTTGGAGACTATATGATAATTTTTTTAATACACAAGTCCAAAGCGTTTAATAAAAAAAGGGCTTCCATTGTCACCTTGAAGGAAATATTATGAGGGTCTAAAAAAAATAAAAATAAAAAATGAAATTACATTGTGGAAGATAAGATAAGGTTTCTTTTATGTCCCAGACAAGTGGAATCATCCTAGGAATCCTAAGTAGGAGAGCGAATGGCAACTGAAGTAACTATAAAGTAGACAGTCTCCTAAAAAGGTTGGCTTTTTTATTACCTAATTTATATTCAAATAAAAATTAAAAAACAAAATCTAACACTCAATTACTGTTGAGTTATGAACCGCAAGCCTAAAAAAAAAGAAAAATGCAACAAACAAACAATCCAACCCAAACTCCCCCCACATAAACTGAGGTTTATGAATAATCTTTCAGCAACTAATCTCCAGCCATTTTACCTCTATACAACAATGTCACCAGATTTCACACCTAAATTGCCCAAAGCCAAAGAAATAGTATTAAGAAAAAGAGCTGAACATCTCAAGTCCAGTTAGTTCCCCAACATATCACAATTTTTTTCAAAATTATGAAAAATGCTTGATATAACAAAATGTAAGAAATTCCAAGTTCTTAATGTTCCCTCTTTCTCTCTCATATATATTACGGTACAACAACCTCTTGGTGAAATAAAAATCCAAAAGCCCAGCTAGGCAGCTACCATGATCACATGGATGGCTGGGTAATTATCAGGTTTTTATTATTTTCCTTGCGGAAAGTCAAAAACTAAAAATAAAACCTCCTTGTCTTCTTTCTGCAAAATTGCTTGGCATGTATCATATACATGCAAAGAATGAAAACTTGTAAAGCAATTAGCAAGAATTTATGCTGCAGCAGACTGCTTCTCTTCGTGGTAATCAAGAAGATTAAGAGCTTCGAGCAACTTTGGCCATGATTCTGGGATGCCTCCAGGCAGATCAAACTCTAGCAATTTTGCTTGATTGCGGTAGAAATCTTCCAAAGGTTGACTCTGTAAACACAACACCCATTCAGAAATAACAAGGCAATAAAATCACTGAGCAAAAATAAAAATGGCAACTAAAATCACAATATTTCTCCACACCACTCAAATGCTATTATTGTTTGTGACAAATTCATAACATATATAAGTTGCCCAATGTTTCCAAATCAGTCCAACTTCATACCTTTCCCTTTCCTTTTTTTTTTTTATGACGAGTCTCTAGTTGTAATCTTTTTTGTTATTATCATATATAACATATTTTTATATTTATATTTCCTATATTTACATTAACTTGGGCTAGACTAAAAAATAGACCATTTCAAAAACTAGTCAATGATGGACCCCCATGGATTCAATTCAACTATATATAAGCCGCATGTCACGGACTACGTGCTTGTCATTCTCTCGAGAAGCCGGCTCCACAAGTGGTACTGTGTACCCCTTGCATTATGCCCAAAGACCAACTCAGGTGATGCGATAGAGATCTACCCTGCCTGTCTTGCCACTCACAAACTAATGCACTTGCAAGGTGCTTGGTGTAGAACTCGCATCCCCAATGAGTCGGGTACGTGACACGAAGCTAAAGTTCCAATGTGATAAATTCATAACATAAAAGTGCGCATCATATTTACTATTTATCTCAGGTGAGGCTTTCTGACTCTAGAACACACCCTTTCTTCCCTAAAAAATAGCAAAAAATATATTGCTACCATTGTTTGAGAGCTTGATAACCCCTTTTCTAAAACTTAAACTTTTGAGATTACTGGTGGTACTCTAACATGATATCAGAGCTCAATTTGAGAGGTCTTAGGTTCAAGTATCTCACCATTTGTAGGTTTAAATGTTTGCATCTCCACGTTCAAGATGGGAGTGTAAGTGAGGGAGAGTGTTGGACAGATTGATATATATTGTTAGGCCCATTTGCTAATAATTTAAGCTTTGAGGGTTAGTGGTGCTCTAACAACCATGTCTAAAATGAAACAAAGAGCACCATGTTGGCCAACTGGAGAGGTACGGGGGAAGAAAAGATCATAAGCTTTGGATTATAACCTATCACTGATGTTTCTCTGTATGGTCAACGAAATGAGCATGTTAACATGGTATTATAACCTATCACTGATTGTACTCTTTGGATTGGAAGTACACCAATGAGCTTATTGCTACCCAATATCCCTAGAACTTTGTTCGGAGATGCAGGCAGTCTGGTTTAGCAGCATGTAATAAATCCCCATCACAGAGACCTTTAATACAATTGAACTTTTATGAGCCATAAACCAAAATGGAAAAGAGGAATAAGTATAGTACAAGTGAGAAGCCCCACTTTGCAGCCATTAGAAATCCTTGCATCAAATCAATTATCATGGTTCTTATTTCTACCGAAGCATAACTTCAAACTAACACAAGAAAAATCTAGCCCCACACCTGCAAAAATGTTAAAGGTGTCTTCACATTTTTCTAGCAACAAAGACATAAATGGATGTTTACTTTTCCAACAACAGGAAAACTGTGACAATATTAGTGTCATTTGTGAAGAACATTTTGGGAGAATGAAGCACTACCTTTTCATTGTAAATGCGGAGTCGTTCCTTTACTACAGCTTCAGTATCATCAGACCGAGTGATGAGCTTTGAAACACATTGTGGGGGAGAAGGAAGTGGAGCCATGCTGATTCCAGGATTCCCATTCTCACCTTTGACATTAATGGAGGCCACATTGAAATTTTTCCCGCACTCACTGCAAATCCTTCGCCCAAGGCATTTCTCAATCAGTACACTTTCTGGGAGCTTTAGATTAACCACCAAGTCAATATCTGTCACCTCATCCAAGATTTCCTGAAAAGACAGATGAAACGGGATATACCTAAGAATCAGAAAAGACAAAAAGAAAATATCACAGCAAGAGAGAGAGAGAGAAAATAATGTGTGATTAGTCCACTAGCCCTAACATAGTTGCAGTGCACTTTATCAATCTCAAAACAATGTTCAAAAAGTAAATACAAAAAAACTTTGTCTTGGCAGTGCTGCCATTGGAAAGGAAAGAAAGAGGACCTTCTTAGGGTACAGAATTAGAAGCTGATGCAACAGAAAAAATAAACTTTTCTATTATGGTTTCTTAGCAACCATAAACTTTTCCTGTTTGCTACATTCCCCAAATTACGAAAAGCTCAGCGCTCTTATTTTTCTTCTTCTCTCATTTAGTTTCTACCATTTTGAGGCTGTTAGCAGCCAAATATTCATTTTTTTTCTTCAATCTTCTCTCTTGGTTTGTGATTGTTGCATAAATATATTTTTAATAGCACTCTGATTTTTTTTATTAGATGATAAAAAAATACAGATGTTACAACCACTTAATCACAGAGAGGGAGAGAGAGAGAGAGAGAAAATAATGTGTGATCAGTCCACTAGCCCTAACATAGTTGCAGTGCACTTTATCAATCTCAAAACAATGTTCAAAAAGTAAATACAAAAAAACTTTATCTTGGCAGTGCTGCCATTGGAAAGGAAAGAAAGAGGACCTTCTTAGGGTACAGAATTAGAAGCTGATGCAACAGAAAATACCTAAGAATCAGAAAAGACAAAAAGAAAATATCACAGCAAAAGAGAGAGAGAGAGAAAATAATGTGTGATTAGTCCACTAGCCCTAACATAGTTGCAGTGCACTTTATCAATCTCAAAACAATGTTCAAAAAGTAAATACAAAAAAACTTTATCTTGGCAGTGCTGCCATTGGAAAGGAAAGAAAGAGGACCTTCTTAGGGTACAGAATTAGAAGCTGATGCAACAGAAAAAATAAACTTTTCTATTATGGTTTCTTAGCAACCATAAACTTTTCCTGTTTGCAACATTCCCCAAATTACGAAAAGCTCAGCGCTCTTATTTTTCTTCTTCTCTCATTTAGTTTCTACCATTTTGAGGCTGTTAGCAGCCAAATATTCATTTTTTTTCTTCAATCTTCTCTCTTGGTTTGTGATTGTTGCATAAATATATTTTTAATAGCACTCTGATTTTTTTTATTAGATGATAAAAAAATACAGATGTTACAACCACTTAATCTCATCCACCTCATCATTATTCAATACCCAACTAAAACCACTCATCTGAAAACTTCCATGCTTTTTGCAAGGCTGAACAAAAATGACAAGCAGGAAAAATACAGTCTAAACTACTTTTGGTGTGATCAAAGACCATGTTATATATACTATGGCAACAGAATGGGATAACTATAGACAGATGTACACCATGTTAAATTTGGAGAGTCAGAGCACTTGAGAGAATAACCCCACGTATTAAGTTCACTAAAACACCAGGGCAGGACATAATAAATAAGCAACTAAATGATGGGCTTAAAAACTTGTCAGAGATAAAACCCTAACACATAAATGTACAACACGAAGGGCACCTCAAACTCACTCACCTGGTCTTAATTGGGGTCAACTAAAAAATTTATTGTCCCCAGACAAATCTATTACAACTGTATATCTGATCAAATTGAAAAAATAAAGGGCATTTACTATCTTCTATTTCATGCAACCCTGGCCGGCTGGTGGCCCCATATATAGCATGCCTACAACTTATTAACTCTTCACATCTCCTAAAATAAAGGCCATTGAAAATTAAATTTTTTATGCACTATAAATAGAAACCATTCAAGTAAACAATGTATTCCGAAATCATATATTTGCAACATTGCTGGTGTTTATTGAATTTAATGGCCATCGTTGTTGATCCACAATCCACACTTTCTTACAACAAGGTGAACAGTTCCCAACTGCCCACCAAAGGCCACTAGTGAACTTTCCTGATGTGTTTTGTTATTTTTTTTTGGTCTTTGAGCTATATTTTGAAACAGATCTAAACTTTCAAACGACTAATACATGTTGTTTCAAGGAGTTCTTAATGAAACTTGCAAATTACAACATTACATGGCCAGTAGACATAATATTTCCCAACTAAAAAATAACTCTCCCGTGGAAACAGGACTTTTTCTGTTTTCCGGAGCTTAGTATCTAGCATTTCACACTTTCTTAAGGGTTAAAAATCATCCTTCAAAAGAAATAAAGTTTGAAAACAAACAATTTCTAACGAAAAATGTGCTCACCGCTTGTCTTATTGTTCGAGGAAAACCATCCAGAATGAATCCTGATTCACCTTTAGCTTCTCCAGCCTCAAGTCTTTTAGATAACAAGTTTATTATAATCTCATCTGAAACCAATTTCCCTTGGTTTACAATCTCTGCAAGCTGTAAAAGACAGCAAAGAAAACAAATGGATAGAAGTAAATACCACACACAAAAATAATAATAACAATGATTTTAAAGCACAATGTCAATATTAGATTTCCTTGGAAGCTCGTCACTTGTCTCGTATTATAATAAAAATGGACCCAACAAACCTTTAAACCTTAATAATTCTACTAGATAAAACCATGGAAAAAAAAGAAGAAAAGACATCAGGATTTTCTCTCAGGAAAAAACCAAGCATGTCTCTCCAATGCCTCGTAGTATCTTCTTGTGACAACCCAACCCGTTCTATGCTTAATTATGCATGTGGTTATGTGTTTGATATGAATTTGCAAGTTTAAGTATGTGAATTTAGAATAATCAAACTCACTCACCTGGTCTTAATTAAGGTCAGCTAAAAAATTTATTATCCCCAGACAAATCTATTGCAGCTGTATATCTGATCAAATTGAAAAAATAAAGGGCATTTACTATCTTCTATTTCATGCAACCCTGGCCGGCTGGTGGCCCCATATATAGCATGCCTACAACTTATTAACTCTTCACATCTCCTAAAATAAAGGCCATTGAAAATTAAATTTTTTATGCACTATAAATAGAAACCATTCAAGTAAACAATGTATTCCGAAATCATATATTTGCAACATTGCTGGTGTTTATTGAATTTAATGGCCATCGTTGTTGATCCACAATCCACACTTTCTTACAACAAGGTGAACAGTTCCCAACTGCCCACCAAAGGCCATTAGTGAACTTTCCTGATGTGTTTTGTTATTTTTTTTTGGTATTTGAGCTATATTTTGAAACAGATATAAACTTTCAAACAACTAATATATGTTGTTTCAAGGAGTTCTTAATGAAACTTGCAAATTACAACATTACATGGCCAGTAAACATAATATTTCCCAACTAAAAAATAACTCTCCCGTGGAAACAGGACTTTTTCTGTTTTCTGGAGCTTAGTATCTAGCATTTCACACTTTCTTAAGGGTTAAAAATCATCCTTCAAAAGAAATAAAGTTTGAAAACAAACAATTTCTAACGAAAAATGTGCTCACCGCTTGTCTTATTGTTCGAGGAAAACCATCCAGAATGAATCCTGATTCACCTTTAGCTTCTCCAGCCTCAAGTCTTTTAGATAACAAGTTTATTATAATCTCATCTGAAACCAATTTCCCTTGGTTTACAATCTCTGCAAGCTGTAAAAGACAGCAAAGAAAACAAATGGATAGAAGTAAATACCACACACAAAAATAATAATAACAACGATTTTAAAGCACAATGTCAATATTAGATTTCCTTGGAAGCTCGTCACTTGTCTCGTATTATAATAAAAATGGACCCAACAAACCTTTAATCCTTAATAATTCTACTAGATAAAACCATGGAAAAAAAAAAAAGAAAAGACATCAGGATTTTCTCTCAAGAAAAAACCAAGCATGTCTCTCCAATGCCTCGTAGTATCTTCTTGTGATAACCCAACCCGTTCTATGCTTAATTATGCATGTGATTATGTGTTTGATATGAATTTGCAAGTTTAAGTATGTGAATTTAGAATAATATGTGTCGAATGTAGGAATATATGTTGCAATTGAAACTTTAAACTGAAAATTGAAAGCCTTATAGGCGCGATAAACAAAAACCGACTTCATATCCGTGATTAGCATGATTTATAGAGCTTGCGGTGAAATTTTAAAAAATTACGATTCGTAATGAATAAATTAAGATTTATGAGTTAAGTTGTATATGTTTAGCCCTTCTTTTGTTCTTCATTTTTGGAGGAGAGCTCTAGAGAGTGAGTTAGAGAGAGAGGAAGAAGGAAAGCTAGGATTTTGCTAGAGATTCAAAGGGCAAATCCTAGATTTGAACTAAGGTATGATAATCTACTTGAAATCTTTGTATATGTCTCATCTTTGTCATGGAATCAAGAAGGAATTGGGAAATTTGAGCTAGGGTTTTGAGTTATGTAATGACTAGAGCTAAATGTATGAAGTTGAACCCTAATTTCTTCATCTTTGTTTGATTTGAGTTCATTCTTATGATTGATCCATGAAATAAACCCTAGATGGTTCATACAAACAAAATTTGTTGGAAGATCATTCATGGATAGATGTATTTTGAACTTGTATATGTAACTCGTGAGCTTATGAAAAGATGAGACTGTGAATTTGATGTTGAAGCAAGATTGATAAGTTTAATGTGGAATTACACTTGTATCATGCTTGTATATCATGTTATTGGGTTGGTTTTGCATGATTTTGGGGTTGGAAACGAGTTTGGAAGGTTTGCATTTTTGTACCATTTTTGGATTGTCTAGGTGTGCCTGCGGCCACGGGCTCCGCACGAACGGCCCATGAACCAAGCCTGGACTAAACCACTCTGTGCGCTCGAGCGACTCGAGCTTCTGCACGAGCAAAGCCAAACCGCTCGAGCGGTTAGGCTACCTGCACTTGCGGCCAGGTAGGGGAGAAAACCCTGTTTCTTGTGTTGATACCCCTACCTCTGGAACTTGGAATGCATTCTCAACCTTATTTAAACCCTTTTGGGAGTGAAATAATGATTAGAAACTCATTAAAGAAAATTGTGAATTATGAAAGATAAGTGTACGAATTGAAACAAATGATTTATCGAATGTGTGTGTGAAATGTTTCTGTAGGTCGTGGGGCAGAGGAGACACCGCGAGATCAAGCACACTGTGAGTAATAATATTATACATATATGCTCTTTATTGTGTACCTCGAACCATGAATGGTTAATGGTGCCGACATTGTGATTTGATTGAAATGAAGAAATTTCATTAATATTATATGACATGTGTAATATGGACCCGAGGCCGTTGGAATATATGATTGGGCTTGAGCCGTTTGAATAAATGATGCTTTATGTGTATATGATTATGGATATTGTGAGAATCTTATGATCATCTATTTACACTGTTTTACTGTATTATTACTCATTGAACTTTGCTCACCCAATTTTATGTATGCACATGTAGGTGATTCACAGTATGGAGCACACCCCTAGAATCAATTCAGGAGCTATTTTTGTGACCCAATCGAGTCATGCCTCCGAGATGGAGTTTTGTCTTTGATTCACACCTTACCTTGACCTTATTTTATTTTTGCTATTATAGTCCCAGGTTTGTAAACAATATGTACAAATTTCCTATGTTACTTATATTTTTACAGGGCATGTAATGTTCGAATGTGTTATGAGGTTAATTTTATAATTTTGCTCATGATTGGTACAGTTCAATGGACTTCTCATTATTATATACTTCCGTTTATAGTCCCATTGGCATAAATATTCTGTATGATCGTTTGAGGCTTTCGGTAATCTATGGATTACTGACCGGTTATGATCCGAATTTCTAGGGGCGAGTTCGGATCATGACACTTCTCCAATAGAACCTTGATACACTCATGCCAGTCAAGGTTGAGCGCACGCTCTGAGGACCCCCTCATCAACTTGGTGTAGAAGACTAGCGATCATAAGGAGCTCAAGTGCTAGCCTATGACCAATGGGAAAGACCTCTGCGTTCATGCAATTTGGTGGCTATTGTTGAGGGTTCATCAAGATCTTTATTTGATTCCCTTTCAATGAACTTGCACTTTGACCGATCTTTATAGAAATATCTCCACAACAAAACAACTCCGAGTTAAGACAAAGATACTAGCATGTGTTTTACTCCTCCAAACATGAGGAACAAAAAACCCAATACCTTTGGAATCCAAGCTCTTCAAAGGATACCAACTTCACTACTAGTTAGAATTGTTCAACTAACAAATTGTTTGACCAGACAAGCAATCATGTGTCCCTCAACCATATGCCCTTGAGAATTACAGAGTTACGTAGTGGATCTCCTCATTCATCTCCAACAATCCCCTCAAGTAGCTTAGAGACTCTAGTTCACCATCTCAAGTTCTCCATCACTAACACACTCTATCTCAGTCCTGAGCTCTCACCTAAACCACCTCCAGTGGTGCTACATATTTCCCATGAGGTTCCCTCAACCTTCCACACCAGCCAATCTATCTAGCTCTTGCAAGTCCAAAATGTTGACCTCATATTGATAGTGAACATCAATCAGCTTATGTAATTAACAAGAAATTTGCATTATAAACAGATCACAACAACATCCTCTTTAGCAACTAGATCTAAACTAGTTTACTCTTGTAGACTAGTTAACCCTGTCAACCAAAAAGAAACCCAAGCAAACCGCACTAACTAACTTTGCACCGGCTTCAAGCCACACAGACAGTTTGTGTCAACACTTGTAATTCTCACATCACATTTGCTTGTGAATTCAATTGCTGCCATCAAAAGGAAGCCTATCATCTCTCAGGACATCTCCAACCATTGACTCAAACCTATGCCAAATTTAAATTTGGATAAAAAAATCCTCAAAAACCTCTCACACTTCTTGACTCAAACTCATATCAAATTGAGTTTTACTTTTACCTCCTTTTTTACCCAAATCAAGGGAGACTCAAATACTTACTCAATTTTTTGAAGACCATTTTGTAAATTTCAAACTTACAGCTCTACCGTTGCTGAAGTTTTTACTCAAATTTATGCTTAAATTTGTGTTTGTCCATTGTAATTTTTTAGTCCAATCCAGCTCATTTCCACTTAAACCATACAAACATTAACACTATGTTTGGATTGAGTGATTTGGAAAGAAAATAAAAGAAATGAGGATATATATTTCTCTTACTTGTTTGGATAATTTAAATGAAAGAAAATGGAGAGAAATCCATGCCTCTTATAGAGGTCATTTTCAATCTTCCTAGGAGTAGAGAGATTGAGAGAGAAAAGAAATCAACAAATTCTTATATTTTCATAATACTAATTTCATTCCTGTAAAAATAAAAGAAATAAAATGGTTGATAAAATATAAAAAGGTTATTTGGTAATATATCATAAAACATTATTTTCACTTTTAGAATCTAACTAAACAAGAAAGAAAGAAATAACAATCATTTCTATTCTTTTATATCCAATTTATCCAAACAAGAAAAAGAGAAATCACAATCATTTTTTTTTTTCTTTTCTTTTCTTTTATAACTAAAGTAATCATTTCTTTTATTTCCTCTCCTAAGTTCCAAGCATAGCGTAAAGCAAAGTCTCATATCCCACAAATCTAACGACAAAATACGAATTTTTTTTAAAAATTATCCAACAACTACCCTATGTAATTCATGACGTATATGTAACAAAATAGCTTTCATTCAACATCACCCAATCCAACATCCATAATTCATATACACAAATATATATATATATATATATATATATACCTGATGAGAGAGAGGGCCATTGGAGGAGAGCTCTTCGCGGACGAGATCGCCGGTGGCGATGTGAGGGACGGCGAGGAGGGAAGAGAGGCGGCTAGCGGAAATTCCTTTTCCGACGCCAGGGCAGCCCAGGAAAACCCACTGGACATTCCTGAGCTTGGGATCTGAGCGAGGAGGGAGAGAACCGAGAGGGTAGGATGGGGATTTCGCGGTCTCAGACACAGCAGCTGTGGATATACACCTCTTCAAGCAATTGATGGCTGAGGATGACAAAGGTGAAGCCTTCAACAACAGGCGCTTCATGGCCGCCATTCATGTACTGACCTCGCGTAGCGATGGAGAGAGGAGAGACAAGATTTGATGAGTAGCTTTTTTATTTAGGCTTTTGTTATTGCATTGGAGAGCAAGAATACCTGTACAAAAAAAATTATTATTATTACTATATTTTATTATGTGTAAATTATAAATACATTTCTAAAGATTGGATTAAAATATAAATCGCCTCTTGTAATTTTGAAAATCATATTTCACTCTTGAAGTTTTTGATTTCATAACAAATTATTCATTTTATGAATAAATCATCAAGTTAATTAATAATTTTTAATGATGTTATAAATATATTTTAATTAATAATTTAGGTAATTTTATTATTACATAGTAAAATAATTATGAATTTCTTTTTTTTAATTAATTCTGTTAAATAAAAATTTTAACAATGGAGTATTTATAATTTTTTAAACTACAGGACAATCTATATTTTAAGTAAACTTCAATGGTGTATTTGTAATTTACCCATTTATTATTGGTGCTAAATTTGCACTTTCTGTAATCTATACTTCATTATTGGTGCTAAACTACACATATTGTTTGGGGACTCACTTTTTTAGTCAATTAATCAAAAAGTTACTAAATTAGTTAAAAAGTCAATAATTCATACAAAAAAGTCAAAGATTCTCTTTTCTCTCTACTTTTTGCACATCTTTTCGTAATTAGCCAAAAAGTCATCCCAAACATACAAGTTTTTTTTACCTACCTTTTTAACCAAATAGCCAAAAAGTTACTAAATTAATCTGTTCCCAAACGAGGCCAAAAAATAAGCACTAACTGTATGATTTCTAAATTAAAATATAATAGTATTTTTTTTAAGTTAATAAAAAGTGTATTACATGAGTAAACTATTTTTTGTAAGACAAAATATTATTCTTGTAAATTTGAAAATTAAAAAAATATTTTCCTTTTCTTTAAATTTGTAAAATATAATTTTTGCAGTTTTTTTTTTTATGTGAAATGTTGTTCATTGTTTAATATTAAGATATGTAAGATGAAAAAAAAAAGGACATTTATGGAAAGTTTTTTTTTTTTGGAAAATAGCAACAAAAAAAAATGAAAAGATGGCAAAATAATTACACATTATTTTTTTTTTAAAAGACAATTATAGTTTTTTTTTTTTTTTTTTTTTCATTCTTGTCTTCCTCTTTCTTTTTCTCCATATATTGTAACTAAGGGTGTTCTCCTCCTCGTCAACTAATCCCGATCCCACCATAACCCTCCATCACCACCACCAACCCCTACCCTACCCTAACTAGCCACCCCTAATCCCTTCCCTACCCTTTTCCCAACATCATCACCAGCAATGCCACCCTTTTTGGCCACACACCCAACCCTTTTGTAGCCTTCCCCGATGCCACCCTACCCATCTCTCACCCTTCCCTTGCCACCTCACTCCCTCTCTCTTCCCCTTCCAAACCCCTCCTTACCTCTACCAATTCCCCACACTCAGTAATTAGATATGAACCCATTGTTATTACTTAAGCCCATGTCATTTTTCAAGGCCTGAGAAAGGAAAAAAAAAACACTTACGATGGAAGTGCTTACTAGATATGTTTATGTTTTAGAGATCTAAAAGTAAAACTTAATATCATCTCTCTATTTAGATGAATTATACAAATATTCTCTAAATTATCAGTGAATATCACTTTAAAATCATTTAAATATATAGTTTTGAAATTGAGAAAAATAAATTTATTTTCAACTATTATCGAGAGGGTGTTCATGTAATTGTATTTCAAATTCGTCACAGCCATCCTTGAATGATTATTGTCCAAATTTTCATATTCATAAATGCAAAAGCAACATAATTTATATATATATTTTTTTTTTGAAGGATTCAAATATAATGTATATATCTAACCTACTTGTGAGAAAAGAGAGCCACTAAGTGACAATACAACACAGATCGTACAGATTGATGCTAAAATAGAATTAGCTTCCAATGTCACCACAAAAAGGTATCAAATTCATTTCATAAAAATTGACCTCGATAACCTCACACCACAACATAACTATTTTGGTCAAAATTTTTAACTTAGATCAACCCAACTCATTATCTGATAATTATACAACAAAAATATCGAGATCTCTTTTCAATGTGGTTGGTTCAAGAATTGGTGTGGACAACATATAACTGGCTCAATTTGTAACAACTCAAAAATTATCCTTCAAATTTTATATTGGTATTGTGGTTGTATGTGATAATATATTATTAAATAAATAATAATAAATACATAATCTAATTTGGCATTAGATTATCAAATATGAAATTGATTAGGGATTATTATTTGGGGTCAAATTAGTAGAAATATGAAATTATAATACTAGTTGGGCCAAATTAAAGTTAAAGATAGTAAATAAATAAATATAAAAGTAGGAGTAAATAATAATAATAATAATAATAATAATAATGGGTATGGTAGTAAAATAAATAATTAATTTTCTGTTGGTATACGATAGAGTATAATTTAATTAGGGATTAATTTATTTATATAGTTATATTAAAAAACTGGGCCAAAGTGTAATTATCTTAAATACTTATTAAGATAAGTATAAATCTTGATGAGTTATGAGCAAATTTTCGAGCTGGCCACATGTTGGCCGGATGATACTTTTACCTCCCTATAAATAGAGAGGAGTTGATCAACTCTGTGGAAAAAAAATGAAAAAAAGAGAGAGGGAGAGGCATGTAAGTTGTTGGTAGTAGAAACTTATAGTTGGAAGGTTGTGATAGTAGAGTAAGGCTAAGGGTTAATATTAAGGTGAGTTATATTTTACCATAATATATTTTACGTATGTTTTGATTTACCATAATTTATTTTATACAAGTTATATTTTATTAGTTATATTAATACAAGTTATGATCTATAAATATTTCAGTTACGTGAATTAATTTCTGAACTCTATTTGTGTAAAATGAAACCCATGAATATGTTTGTTTAAACTTTAAGGAATATTTGACTATAATCTTATAAACAATTATGTTTTGTAAGTACCACCACGGGAGTCCCACGCCTTGGGGACTTAAATAACCATCGGCTTCTGTTTGGTCACTTTATGGCCCTCTATTGTCATGGATCTATTGACCTCTATTCTGTGCGGAGCAAAGTGCTATGCGGAGATAAGTGTTACACTATTGTGGGAGCTACCTCTATAATCTGTACGAGCCACCTATTGAATCCGTACCTCTGTTCTGACTATCACTCCTGTGACCTTTGTTCTGTTCTGTTCTGTTCGATACCTTGGTTATGATTATTTATTTACATAATCTCAGTTTTGCTACTTAAATGATTATTTGTTCAGATTAAGTCATCTTAATATTTTAGTTACATAACTATCTATGATTATTTTGTGTCCATTATACTCTTTGCATAATATTTATCACTCTGCCATGTGCTTATAGTTGTTAACTAATTTTCAGGAAATAATGCAATTCAGAAATAGGTTTTGGAAAGTTTTAGACGCGGGACTACGGAATATACGCACACAACACTTTTATGATATTTTTATATATAAATATCGATCTTTTGGTCAATAAATTTTGTAATAAAAATAAATGCTCTAATGATTATTTTGGTACCTTCACTTAAATATTATTTTCGCTCGCATTTATTAATTTGTTCAAGAATTTGTCGGAGGTAACTTTAGTTACTGATTATCACGATACTTAACTTTTGAGTACGAAGAGCGGGTCGTGGCACAACTAAAGTAAGAGCCAATGGAATTCTTTTCCAATTAACTCTATTATTTTTTAACACTAATTATAACCCAACTTATTATTTTGAATCTAGGTTATTTTGAAGGCTATATCGCTTATGATATAATGAGACAGAGATCTTAAACTAGATCTTAAGGCCCATTAACCTCAATGGATGGTTGGGTCGATCAAACTTTACCCAAAAATGGAGGTAAAAGGAGGCAATAAGTACCTACCCCCCCAAAAAACAAGGGTCTGGCTTTGGTCCAGTTTACTATCGGACTGGACCGTGCTGTTAGATCTGTGGAAGCCCACTACGGGTCCCTTTTTGAAAATCTGAACCGTTCAATGTGTAGAACTCTTCGAGTACTATATGCTTGTAAAAAATTACGTTGATCGGATATCGATAGCTATGTGATCAAATCAGTTTTGTATAAAAAAATAGACGGTGAATAAATTAACGGTTGACAAAAAACTGATTTGATCACATAACTATCGATATCCAATCAATGTGATTTTTATTTAAGTATATAGTACTCAAAGAGTTCTATACATTGCACGGTTCAGATTTTCAAAACGGGACCCGTGATAAGCCCTCACAGACTCAACAGTACGGTTCAATCCGATGGTGTACTGGACCAAAGCCAGACCCAAAAAAAAAAAAGAGGTAATAAGCTAATGCCTAATGGGTCATGTTTGTAACTTGGGTTAACTTTGATTGGGTGGCTGTGGTTTTCATGGTGGTTCAGTGGTCCTTCAACGTGCAAAGAGGCTAAAATCAAAGTGGTGGTAGGGACGAGTCTTGAGTGTTCACGCCGAAAGCATTAAAACAACGATACATGAGAAGTGGCAAACAGTGGATTGTATGAATAATGTATATTTATATAGACCGACTTAAAGATATTTTTCAATGTTGTATTATTGCTTTTGGTCTCAAAACATTACATGGACATGTATGACCCTTCAAAGATATGAGGAAATGTGAGAAGAATATATACCTAATAAGACACGCGTCATTATTAGATTATACCATAAAATTAAATATAACAAAAGATTGAATAAATGATAAATTATAGATAAAAGTAAAGTATTATGTTTGATTGTAAAATGATAAAAAAATATATTTATTTTGTACCATTAGATGAAAAAGAAAAATAATTTGAACGTTCTAAACTCCCAATATCATAATTTTTATGGTATTATCTAATCTTTTATTTTTCTCCATTTAATCCCCTATACTAATATTAAAGTTATTTGGAGTTTTAATACCGTGCAAAACAAATGTCAGGCTAAAAAATATGTATAACTCAAATGCTCCTCACCTCATATTCCCCTCTCTTTATCCTGCAAACATACAATGCATAAAGTAATCTGGTGGAGCCT